TATTTGGTCACTATTTCCGTAATTTTAGTCACTAAAGTCACTACTATTATATCGCATCAGCACTACCAGCCCTGGTTTAAGCATCTGAATCGGATTCAGGGAAACCACATTTAATAAGAACAATGACTAGAAATTCACTGGGAAGCCATTTGAGGGGTTTTAAGTAATCTAAAGGAGAAAAATCTATACAACTCTCTAATTTTCTCTCATTTTTATACCTGTGATCTTAACATTTTTACCTACGAGATGAGTACATAAGGGGATTAGTTTTTGATAAGTACTTTAGTGGGAATGACACTGATGAAGACTCCACATTTTAGTCGAAATACGTATCTGTCATTGATACCTAAATTATTTAAGTGGAATGAAATGGAAGATAAAATTTTTTGCTGTTCTATTAAAAAGTATGTTTATTTCAACAATATAAAATTCAATCGTATATGATTATTAATTAAAAATATCTTTGTTTCAACAGAAAATATATTTGAATAAAAAATATTCGAATTGATTTTTAACGACACTTTTTGGAGAGTACCCGTGGTAATTTGTTGTGCTACACGTTAAGAACCACAAACTTAAATATGAGTAAAGTTTCTCAATAATCGGACAAACTCACAAACTTATAATATGAGTAACTGTGTATATCGAATATAAACAAATTTTAGTCTTTTATTAATTCATTTGACTCATTTTCAGGTAAAATTTACCTGTAATTCTTAGTAAAAAAAGATAAACCTACACCTAAATTCGGATGAACAATTCATTGCGTGTCTTGCCTTCTTCCTTCGACAGAATTTAGCTCCAGCTGCTGTGGTGACATCCAAGGGTGTAGCCAGGTTTCGAGCTAGGGCGGGGCGAAAAAAAAATTAGTATGGAAAATTTGGCCGAATGCCATTTCACCGAAAGCCTTTGTGTTGCTGAGTTTAGGGGGAGGGGCAAATTCCCCCTGTCCCTCTCTGGCTACGCCTATGGTGACATCGAAGTCCACCAGCATCCGAAAACCCATGAAGTGTCCATAATTTTCAGTATCGACTTGCTCGACTACCATCAAGGTGGATTCCTTCAACCGATCCGTATCAATGAATGATTGATCACTGCACAGTGGTACAGAATGCAGATTTAGGTGGAATGATATGTTTTGAGCATGAAATTGGAACTTTAGACTAAAAGTTTCTTCTACAAAGTTAGTTAGGCCCTCATTTTTATGACAATGAATTCTAGGGTGGTTCCTATTATCATTAAAATCAAAAATCTAACTTTTTTGTTTGAATAAATTAAGGTATACATTCTTCGGTTATAGTTATAGCTGAGCTAATTTCAAGCAACTTTGTTGAAAATAACTTTTTTGTATCTCTTAAATTGGCCGATTTAGAGCTATTTTCTTGAATTGAGTTAGGGTCAGTTTTTTTGCTCTATTTTTCTTATTTCGAATTTCTCAGCGAAGGTGTCTTCAGATAACTTTTAGATCTTAAGAAGGCGCAAATTTTTGCTGCACAAAGCTTGTCAATATCTTTCGTCGATCAAGAGTTATTGACGTTTGTATACTAAAAATATGCACTTTTCAAATGTTAATATCTCTGTTTGGGGCAAACAAAAAAAAAGTTTTTTTGCCGCATTTGAAAGGGCGTATGTTATTCTCAGTAATGTGAGAAAATTGGAATTATGTTATTTTTTAAACTCGTATAAAATCAATTTGAATTTATTCATATTTTTTAATATATTTGAGTATATCTTTTTTATTAGAAGAGATACAGGCAACAAATCCAGCTATAAAACATTTGTCTTAAAGAGTTTTAAAAGTCTCTAGAAGATGACTTTCATTAAAAATTTCAAATAAAAAAGTTATTGCATTCTGGACCACTGTGCACTGGCTGGGAAAACCGCACGTGACCGATTTATTTGTGTGCCAATCGACATGTCAACATATCGTTCCAGAATCAGCCTATTTTCGCCCCCGATACGAAGAAAACGAGCATGTGTGGTCATTCCAGCTAGCGATGAATCGTTCATTAATACGGATCGGTTAAAGGAATTCATCTTGCACACTTTTACTTGCTTTATCGTACGAACTAAAATAATTTCTAAATATGTACGTTTACAATAACCCGAAGATGTTGTTAACAAAAATGATAAACATGTTTAAAATAATCATATTTATTTCTGTTTACAAAACTTTCAAATAAATAATAATATTCACGCTTATTTTCATTACAAATATTCTGAAAATAAACGTAAAATTAATTTAATTTTAAACATTAATGTTACATGACTAAGGCCTCCCTTAGCTCAGTCGGTAAAGGTGCAGCTACAAAGCAAGACCATGCTGGAGGTGGCTGGGTTCAATTCCCGGTCCGGTCTAGGATTTTTTCGGGTTGGAAAATTTCTCGACTTCCCTGGGCATAGAAGTATGATTGGGCTTGCCACACAATTGCAAAAATGGTACAGGCATCGAAAGCTCTCAATTAATAACTGTGGAAGTGCATCTAGAGAGCACGCAATAAGCTAATATGCGATATGCAATAAGCTTGTAATGCGAAGAAGAAGACTTATAACATGAAATACTATTTGTGTGGACAGAACAAACTGACTTTACGTTCAAATTTACCTTAAATGTATTTGTTTCGATGCTAGTTTTCTTTGCGTGTAGAATTTAATTTAGGTTCCTACCAAGGGGTAAGTCACTCAGCACATTATGCCGAAATTAGATTCGGCACTGCTTGGGCACATCCATCGGCAGACCTTCGGCACAATCTCGTAGGCATTGGATTGTTGCAAATAAAATGGGAACACTGCTGGACAACTGTCATTGAAGTTTTTCACAACATTACTTGCTGTTTGACTGTATGTTCAGGAACATCCTTTAGTTAAATTTACCAAAGGAACTCAGACCAGCAGTTCGCTTATAGATCTAAATACGAAATGTAGGTTCTAGAGTGAGCTCAAGAGGATTTAATTAGACCCAATTAGTACCCTTAATTCAAATAATGCTGCAACTCACACTAAACAAACTACCGAAGTCATATTCATCATCCTCTATAGTTGGTTTCCAACAATGTTCCCCACCGGTTTCGGTCGCTGATAGACCGTTGTTTTTCACATCACAAAAGGCTAGGCTTCTGGTCTACCTTTGAGGGCATTATAATACCCTATAACACAGGACTTTTATTATCCTATGAACACAAAACACCAAAATTTCTCATACACGCGTCATAATCAATCCGATTTATGCTTGCGATTTCAAACCAAAACATTCAAGGTGTCAAAAATACCGGGTTGCCGGGATGGGTATTTTACAAACAATCGCAGTTTGCTCTATGACCGGCAACATCGGCACACCTACGGCACACATGCGGTACACTGACAAAAAAGATGACGAAATATTGGTGTGCCTACCTAACATTTAAATAAAATGCTCCATTTGCAAAATAAAAGCATTTTAAGATTGCACTCGTATACCTCACCGTGTAAAATTTTGAAACCATCTCTATAAGTTGTAATATCTTTCTAGTTTACCCTTGAAAAAGGCCACAATAAATGGCCGAAACGTCGGGCAATGCACAACTAACTGTTTGAATTACCCTAGACTGAGAAAGCCATAAAAACGAAATCTCCATACGCCTTTTAAATGCACCACCAATGTAGAGTGCGCCACGCGAGTTCGAGAAGAAACGTCAACCAAACCGTTTGTTTACATCAGAATAAGTATTTTCCCCAACGCAAATAACAGCATTTTTCATTCAAAATCTTGCCAATTTCCATCGGTAATTGTCTTATTGTACGATTTTCCACAAATCTGAACTGATTTGCACCTTAACTATTCACACACAAGAAATCCGGAAGATCATAACCACTAAGGCACTTTTTTAATATTTCATTTTTCTCTACAAAAATATTCCTTGAACACCAGCAGGATCTTTTCAAAAACGTTACAGAATCAAATTTTTCAACTGTAGATTAAGTTTTGCAGCATCTCAGATGAATCAATTTATCAGGAAAAGTAGAAAAGTGTTCCGCTTCCTATGTCTCAAGGCAAAAATTTATGCTCACAACTCTTTTTGACGTTCTCCTATTCACCACCAGAGGTTGAATCGATCGTTTAGTTTCTATTAAAAAGGAAAAAAAATAATTCTGTAACGGTTTTGAAAAGATCCTGCTGGTGTTCAGGAATATTTTTGTTGAGAAAAATGAAAAATTAGAAAAGTGCCTTAGTGGTTATGATCTTCCGGATTTCTTGTGTGTGAATATTTAAGGTGCAAATCAGTTCAGATTTGTGGAAAATCGTACAATAAGACAATTACCGATGGAAATTGGCAAGATTTTGAATGAAAAATGCTGTTATTTGCGTTGGGGAAAATACTTATTCTGATGTAAACAAACGGTTTGGTTGACGTTTCTTCTCGAACTCGCGTGGCGCACTCTACGTTGGTGGTGCGTATAGAGAGAAAGTAAACTATACTTTCTCATTCTAAGAAAACAATGTGCAGCGGAATCATCTTTGTGAGTCAACTCTCAGCTACAATTTTACATGCTGTGAATAGTCGCACAATATCAATGGGGCTTGTAAAATAAATGTCTAGCATAATATTTTGTTCCGATATCACGCGTGATACTGAAATCGTATGAGAGCAAAACATCATATAAACAGTTCCTCGCCAAGTAGCTAAAAGTAAAATTCATTTTTGACTCTACCTTCTCCGACTTGCATGAAACTTTGCATAACTGTTAATTTGTAAAATTCGTAATGGCGTATTCGCCATTTTTTAATAAATCGTAGCACGAAAATGTCACTTCTAATCGTCAACCTATGGAAAAAAAAAATACAAAAGATTCAAAATGACCGAATTTCAGTACAAATGCGAAAGATTGTCCATAACAAACAATTAAGCAAAGTTTCATGCAAATCGGAGAAGGTTGAGCCTGTTCGATTCGTCATTTGGCGTGGAGCTGCACATTTAGCTAATAACTATACCAACACTGGATCAAATCGTTTAAATTTCCAGTGACCGAATATTACAAGCTTCCCAAACTGTACAAATATGACGATTACGATCGCTGTATGCTGGAATTTGACGCTAAAGCCGTGTACTGTCTGATCGATACGGTCATCAAACCGAATACAACTGCTGCAGTTTGGCCCTTGATCGAGGTAAGTTTGAAATCGAAACTAAAATCCCAGTTCCTTATTCAGTTGCTCATGGTTGTTATTGCTCTTGGTAGAAATTTTCCAACGACACCAAACGCAGCTTCCGGCACGATCGCATCCAGCGGGGACTGTGCATGAATTGGTGCGAGAAAATTATGGACAAGTACGACTATGAAACCCAGATGAAGTACTATTTGGAACCGTTCAACGAATCCAGTGAAATCACGTTCGATCCGAACACCTTTCGGGAAGCGCTGGATTGGCGAATTAAGTTCAAACGGTTGGCCAATCAGTGCGTGAATTTCGAACTGAAGCGCCAGTACTCGATCATGGGCTATTCAGCGGTGGAGTACTGCGTGAGCAACCAGGAGCACGATCCGTTGGGTAAGAGCTCTTCATCTCCACTGTTTGCTTTTTCAGTGATTATGGCTTTGTTTTACAGATTACTTGGATATAATTTTCCTGGTAGTTGTTGGATCGATAATCCTAGCCGTGGTGCTATCTTCGTTGTTTGACTACAAACTGAAACGGAAACACTCATCAAGCATGAAGAGCAGCGAATACTACCGAGCACCAATTCAAAGGGGATGTAAGTAGGTGTCAAATTTAGCTATTAGGATGAAATCATTGGTTAGTGGCTACATTGTTTCAGTATCGCAAAAGTTGGTCCTATTTTCGCTTCCTCGTAACTGGCAGATCCTGATGGTCAAACGTCGAAGCACCCTGTCGAAAGATCTCCGTTTTATTCAGAGCGCACGTTTCCTCATCATGTATCTGGTTATAGCCGGTCATTGCATGCTGTTCAACTGCATTTTTCCGCTGCTGAATCCGGAGTATGTGGAATTTGTAAGTATGACTTGGCAATAAAAATAACGGAAACTAGAATCGAATGAGAGTTACAATTCTAATTACTTTTTAAAACGTGCGTGTGGTCTGGTTGGTGTGCTGCTGGTAAACGCGTGACTTTGTACACGATGACAATGATCGACCGACCGTCCTAACCTAGAATTACCGGCGGACGATAACGATGCTGATTTTCAACGGTATAACGGTGATTCAAACCTATTTCACCATTAGCGGATTCCTGCTGGCGGTGCAATTTGCGGACTATTGCGATCGAAATAAGTCATTTACCGTGAAGGATTTCTTTTCCAGTATCGTGTATCGCTATATGAGGTAATATATTAGTAATATATATTGAATATTTATCTGCTTTAAGCACCGTTCTCAGTTGGTGACGAGGTTTTTCACTGGCTATCCAAAAGTTAGCGAAAGAGCGTTAAACAGACTTTAAAATTATTGACAGTCACATTGATGCAAATACAGTAATGAGCCGATTTTGTTAGGCCCTCTGCGCATCAGACTTTAATCTTTCAATAATTTTACAAGTCTTTCTCATTCATCTTCAAGATAGATGTTTAAGGTATACTAAAGCCCGATTCAAAGTAAATTTGGACGCATTCAAGTGATCATAACTCAAGAATTAAACAACATACACGGTTGATCAAAACGTCAAACAAAAGGGTATTTATTCAGCTTTCAAACGATATATATCACGTTATTACATTTCACCGTTTCGAACGAACTGTCGCACTTTACTTGTGATCGATGTCATCATGATCTGCACAGTCGCTGGTGACACTGTACCGGCGAGATTATTCCATTTTAAACGCATTTGTTGGGCATTTGTCACTTCTTTACCGCATCCTAGAAGTTTTCGCTTGACAATTGCCCAATATTTTTCGATCGGTCTGAAAACAGGGAAATTCGGAGGATTAATCTCTTTGGCGACGAAATTAACGTTGTTTGCAGCATACCATTCTAGTACCTCCTTAGAGTAGTGGCAGCTGGCTAGATCCGGCCAAAACATAACGTTGATCTTGTGTTGCCGAATGAATGGTTAAATCCGCTTTTTCAGACACTCTTCAATGTAAACCTTCGACGTCATTGTGTGAGATGTGATGAAAATCTTGGTTTTAAGGCCACAACTGCAGCTTCCTTGCCAATTATTAGTTTCCGAGCAAACTTATCAGCAAAAACAAATTTATACCTGGAAGCGACATCCCAACGACCCTATAAGAGATGAACTAGCCTTAGGCTAAAAATCTCTCTAATAAAGGAGAAAAAAAAAAATCCCCACGACCAGTTGCTAGGTAAAATTTTCGTCAGTGGATTTGTTTATAATCCATTTTGACCTATGTTTCATCATCCATTAAAATACAGCCATCAAATTTCGTCAAAACTCGTTCGTATAGTAATCGTGCTCGCTTTTTGGCCACTAAATTTTGTTTCAGAGAGCGATTCGGATGTTTACTGGCACAAAAATACTTATATCTTTCTCTTGAAAGGATGTTACGCACGGTGGAAAAGTTGGAATCGTATTTCTTTGCCAAATCACGTATGGAGACACCTGGGTTACTTTTCACGTACCTCAACACTTTCCTCAGCTCGTTGTCCCTAGTGCCACTTTTATGATAGATGCGCTGTGCTCTATCCACACTCAGAGTATCCTTGCAAGGTTTGATTGCAAGACTCACCGTTGACTTTGGGAATTTTAACACTTTTGCTATTTTTGAGGCAAACCACGAAGGGTTCTATAGATGTTTATGCACAATTTATTTTCTTTGCTCAAGTTCCATGATCCGTAATTTCGGGATGCGTCGATCAATCGTGAAAAACTTTTCACCAATTTCTTCGTCAATGCAACATCAACAAATGCCTGTCAAACGTTTTTTGTTCCAACCACCAGGGGCGCGGTGGTGTATTAAACCGTGCGTCCAGATTTACTTTGAATCGAGCTTTATAAGACCACTGAAAAACGCATGGGTTTTGTAGACCATTTAACAAGATTTTCAAAAAGGAGGCTGATGAAATCGGGTCATTGCTGTGTTGACGACAAAAATATTGATGAACATATTGTCACAGAATCAAAAAAGTTTGACTTCATGTTTCAATATTTATCCTCATTTTCCACTTTTGTTTGACTACAGCAGCAGAAGGGGGCTGTTCCTCGGCAGCTTCTGTCGCAACCACTGTTACTTCACTGGGAATATTTTATCGGATACATCAATTTTAGCGAGGAGCTAAAGTTTTGTTGATGAACCCACCGCAAATAATGTTGAAAATATTGATGGAAATATTGACGAAACTTCTGTCGTGTGGGGTTTTAAAAAGTTTGATGTCGAATTTGAATATTTTCCCTAATTTTCCCCTGCTTTTTGGCTACTATGTTATTTAGTTGATATTCTACGATTTTGGTCAATTTTGAAACGCTCATTGTGTGCATTTCAGAAAAGGAAGCAATTTTAATAAGCTTTCAAATAAACACAGGTCTAAAAGTCTTGAGAATGGACTGTTTCTGAAGAGGCAATCCAACTTCCTACAACTTTGTCTCAGACGTCATTTCGATTAGATTAGCTGTTTTCGTGCTATGATTTAAAAATATCGAATACGCCATTTTGAAAATTTAGTCGTTAGTCAAAATTGCTGAATTGGTTCATTGCCCCTAGTGAACAATTATGCGTAAGTTTCATGGAATTTGGAGAGGGAAACATAAACTCGATTCGTCGTTGGAGTGGAACTGCTCTACAGCAGAACACTTCCAAACCAGACGCGTGCTTAACAGTCAATTTAAATGTTTGTTAGTTGGTAGTGCCACCACCTGTGGCGCTCATAGTCTATTTCCTTGCTGTTGATGTTCACACACTTGTGCCATCGGTTGAGCGCATTGGCCATGACAGTGTATTCAACATATCAAGCTGAACATTGCATTAGGTCCTAAGTAACATTGAGAGATTCTCTTCGTCGACTTTCTCTTTGTATCCCCACGGCCATGTAAAAACATTCCCAATTATTTTCAGCACACAGATTGATAAAAGAAGCTTATATCTAGCATCTAATACGACAATTACAACAAGAAACGGGTATGTGTTCAAGTTATTAACGAAAGAGAAAGTCGACGAAGAGAATCGATCAATGTTACTTAGGACCTAATGGAATGTTCAGCTTGATATGGCGTTAGTGTTTTAGAGACGATGTTTAACTGTGAAAAATAATTATTATGTTATGTATGCTTGTCTGGCCTCCACAGTCGGTAAAGGCGCAACTACAAAACCACGCTTCAGGTGGCTGGGTTCGATTCCCGGACCGGTCTAGGAATTTTTCGGGTTGGAAAATTTCTCTACTTCCTTCGGCGTAGCGTATGATTGTACTTGCCACACAATTATACTAATGTAAAAATGGTACAGGCATCGAATGCTCTCAATTAAGAACACAGCACAGCAATTAAGAAGTGCAGCTAGAACACTAAAGGGCCACCCACAATAGTCTTCTTCTTCTTCTTCTTTATTTAACGTCTGTCTCTGTTCCGCAATCTAGTGCCAATCACCGACGGACATCGATTGCCATCCATTGACGGCAACCGAATGTGCAGGAAGGCAGCTTTTCCACACCTGCGTAGGATATCGCACCCATTTACAACACACATGGGCCGGGACCAACGGCTTTACTTCCCTTCCGAAGGAAGACGTGACCAGAGATGTTTATGCCTCAGAAAAATCCCACCGACCTTGGCTGGGATTGAACCCATACCCATTGGGGTGTTAGAAAGCAGTCACGCTTACCACTACACCACCGGCGCCGGCACCCACAATAGTCCGTCACCGTCACTGTGACCGTCACCGTCAGTGTCAACTGACAGCTTGGTTTGAGCCAACGATATTCAGTTTAGCAACCCACAAAGATGCGTTGCGCTTACTGCGCGCCAGTACTAAAACGCTGACGCTGTGCTAAATTTTAAAAAATTTCAAAATTGACGCAGCGTCATGTTGCTTTTTCTTCACATCAGCGTAATCAGAAGTGTATTTTTTGTATAATAGAAGTGTGTAAAAAGGGCCAACCCCAATTTCCAAACAAATTTCAGTGAAATTTTTCAATAAAATACAACTCAGTGTCAACATTTCAAAGGGGCGTAATTGCTTTTGTAAACAATGACTTTAGCCGTCAATTGCTCGCAAATGAAATCTTACCTCTCCAAAGTTACAATGCTAGCTGGTAGAGGAAACATTCCTCTACCTGTTGGTGTTATTATTTTTAATGAGTGAGCGAGAAATCGGCGGCTAAAGCCATTGTTTACACATGCAATTACGCCCCTTTGAAATGTTGGCACTGAACTAGTGAAATAGCTTTGTTGACAATTTAAACTATTGCAATGTTTTATATATCCTTTAACAATATTGTGTCAATACATGTTTGGCCAACACATTACGGTTAGCGTATGCAGATCAGGGAATCAAGAAAATGCTATCTTCCGATGCTTACCGACGATAAAAATACTAGCTAACGGAATCATGATCAGTGTACAGTAAGATCATGGATTATCATTTGTGTTACAATCATGATCAGCAACAAAAATGAAAATCTACTGATATGATAACAATCACTTTGTAATGTATCTCAAAATCTAGGAACTTGCTGTCTTCGGAAAAGTTGTTCTAGATGTCAAATACCCTACAATACGGATATTTTTGGAATCGGGATGACACATATATTTTGAAAATCAATGTAGGTCGCTATTTTGAAATCCGTCATCTCGGCCGTTGGTTTCGGAAAAAAAAAACTTTCAAATATCCTACAATATGGGTATTTCTGGAACTGGAATAATGCATAGATGTTGAAAATCGATGTCAACCGCCATTTTGGAATCCAATTTGGCGGCCTTGGATTTAGATAGAACTGACAAATAAACTATTCAACATGGCGGCCGACATCAATTTTTGACATCTACACGTCATCCCGTTTTCTAAAATGCCCACATTGTAGGGAAAAGTTGTTTCTAAAATCAATAGCCGCCATCTTGGATTCCCAAATAGCGGCAGAATTTTCTACATCTGCATGCCATCCCTGTTCCGAAAATACCCACATTGCAGGGTAATCTTTGATTTTCAAATGGTGGCGGACATCAATTTTCGACACTTTTTCTTAAATCGATGGCTACCATCTTGGATTTCATAATGGCGGAAAACATCGATTTTCGATCTCTATACGTCATCCTCATTCCGAAAATTCACATATTATAGGGTAGTTGATTAGCCTTGTCTTAAATGGGGAGTTTTCAGTGACGACAGCTGATGATGATGATCTGAGATTATCGCTATTTCATATGATCATGATCTGTT